AAAATTTCGGTTTTTAAAACAAAAAGAATTAAGAAGTTTTGATATTAACTCTATTAGTTCTAATAGTAATGAAGGATATATACTCGAAGTTGACATGCAATATCCACGCGATATTCATGATGAACATTCTGACTTACCGTTTGCAGCAGAAAAGTTAACAGTTCCAATATCATCAAACATTAGTAATAAGAAATTGGTTGCGAATCTCTATGATAAATATAAATATGTTATCCATTACCGTCATTTACAAGAATGCCTAAGAAACGGACTTGTTTTATTGAAAATTCATAGGATTTTAGCTTTCAATCAATAAGCATTTTTAGAGCCATATATTTCCCTAAATACATCTTTAAGACAAAATGCTACATCTGATTTTGAAAGAGACTTTTTTAAAAAACAAAACAATTCAATTTTTGGAAAAACTATAGAGAACAAAAGAAAACAAGTCGATGTTAAGCTAGTAAATGTATGGAAAGATAATTTTAATAACATAAATAAAGTCTGAGGTGCCGAAAAATATGTTAGTGCGCCTAATTTCAAAAATTTTACAATTATTTCTGATAGCCTCGTAGCCATTCAACTCCGACCAACAAAAGTGATCTTGGATCGCCCAATATATGTGGGCTTTACTATTTTGGAACTTGCAAAAAGTCATTTATATAATTTTCATTATTCTGTAATGAAGAAAATATACAAAGATAATCATATCAAACTTTGTTACACTGATACAGATAGTCTTTTGTATTTAATTTACACTGAAGACTTCTACAAAGATATGAAAGATAATATTAAGTACTTTGATACAAGTAACTTTCCTGAAAATAATATATACCATATTCCAAAAGCAAATAAACAAACACCAGGGTATTTTAAAACTGAATTAGGTGGTGATATTATAACAGAGTTTATAGGCTTGAAAGCAAAATTATACTGCGTTAATACTTTAAAGTCCGCAATTAAAAAAGCAAAAGGTGTGAAAAAGCATATTACAAAAAAATTAACTATTGAAAAGTATAGAGATATTTTAAATTCTAATAAAACCCATTGAGACACTATGTACTTAATACGATCTAAGAATCATATACTTTATACGCAAAAAATAAATAAGCTCATTCTTAGTGGCAATGATGATAAGCGACAAATATGTGAAGATATATATAAAACTTTGCCTTGGGGACATTATAGCAATTTATTTTAAACAGCATTATATTTAACTAATGATGAAATATGAAATAATGAAGAATTAAATGATGAAATAAAGTAACAGTAATTTATAAAAAAAATATAAACATAAACATAATATGCAAATGAAAAACAAATTACTTTATTTTGAATATTCTTTACTGCAAATATTATGTTCTATATTATAACTAGTATATCGTTATTATAACTCTAGCTAAAACATAAAAACCTTCCATACATATAATGTAAGTTGAAATAAAAATACTGTATTATCATAACCATATTTTGTTTTATTTATCATCCCCTTTGATCCTTAAATACTAAATATTACATAAAAACAATAGATTTAAACACACTTAACTTTTACAACAGAGTTATACATGTTGAAAAAATTAATCATATATTTATAGACATTTTATTAACATAAATTTTATTAATTGATTTCAAACTTAAATACTAGATTTGCTTAGTTTTTTTTACCTATTTACAAACTAAATGTTCTGTCTCATCCATGATGTCATCATATGCACTTGTCACTAGATATTGCACGTTCACAGCTTCATTTCCAGATTCAGTATTTATTTCATCGATATTACGACCATCTAAATCATGTATTATAATTTTTATTAAATTACGTACATCACCTGTTTCCTTTCGCATGATAAATGATGTATTTTTGAAAGAATTTGATTTGATTTTTTTCTTTTTTATTTTTTCCTCTTTTTGGCGACGGCTCTGCTCGCACGTCTTTGTCGCCACTTCATCGTACCAGCCTTGCCTATCTTGAGCATTGTAAAATGAATTGGTAATTGGGTTTGAGTCTTCTAACAAATTCTGAAAGCCAGATATAAAATTACTACCCATGAATTTAAAATCAATTAAAAATAATAAAAACTAAATAGTAACTTACCTCACGTATATTTTCTAAGCTATCCAAAACAGGACTGTAAGATAGTGTATGTGACATGTTACTGAAAAACAAAAATGAGTATAAGTTACATATTTTATTACATTTATAAGAGTTAGAATTACAATAGAAAATAGAATAAGTTACTTTATTATTTAAATATTTCATTTAAAGTACTTACTCCAAATTTCAGCTAAAGAAAGGAACGTCCTCTTTATAGAAAGTACTGTAGCGAAATGACGTGATCATGTGTTGTAAGATGAGAAATGTATAATATACTCAGGATTTGTAAGATCAGAATAGCATTATTTTGCAAAGTAAGCATAGATCTACTAAGAAATTTGTAACACGAGAATAGTAGAACAGACATGAGGTGACATGCATTTCTCTCTAATATTGTTCATGCAAAATTTAAATATATACCTATGTTTGTAGGTTAGTAACTCATTCAATAAGCACGATGAAGTTGGTCAAACAACTCATATCGCTAAGCGTTAGCAATATTAATATTGATCACTCTGCTCACAAGATCAGACATAGCATTCTTTTACCAAATACCATTCGCTGTATAATATGCGGTCCCTCTAATTGCGGTAAAACAAACGTTGTAATAAGTTTATTGTTGCATGAAAATGGGCTTAAATTTCAAAATCTTTACTTGTATTCAAAAACTAACTATCAACCAAAATATCGTTTTTTACGAGAAGTAATTAAGAGAGTGCCTAATATTTTATTTTATGAGTTCAATGATAACAAAGACGTTATAGGTCCAAGTGAAGCTTTAAACAATTCTGTATTTATTTTTGATGAACATCATCAAAAATAAGTACAGCTTGTGAAAATCAAATCAACATTCGTAATTATTTTTCTATGGGCAGGCACAAGCAAATCGATTGCTTTTATTTATCTCAGACCTACTCAAAAATTCCGAAACAATTGCTGCGAGACAATGCCAATTTTATTATAATATTTAAACAAGATGATGTGAACTTAAAACATATTTATAAAGAACATGTTAGTTCTGATATGTCATGGAATCAATTTAAAAATATTTGTAATATAGTTTGGAGTAAGCCGTATAATTTTGTTTGTATTAACAAGACTCACCGTTAAACAACGGCAGGTATAGAAAGAATTTTGATATTTTTTTTAACCTAGAGTATACTATTATAAACGGGTATTTTAGATAAAACTATTTAGTTTTATTGTAGCCGCGATAGAATGAAGTATTGTAAAGCATTATGGGGAAGCAAATTAAAATGGAATTAATGAAGTCTGTGGACTCCATAAATAATAAAATAAAAAAAAATTAAAAATAATGTGCATGAACTGAACTTATCCCTAGATAAAATGATAAAACCTGTTACAGAGCCCCTTAAAATCATAATAAATAATCAAAAACCAAATCAAGACCATAATTTATCGATGCAATCATGCGCAAATTCTGCTGAAACATTTGAATCGGAATTTCAGAACTATTACGATGCTGACTTGAGTTCTGCAGAATCCCCAAAAAATGAAATTAAAGACAATTTAGAGGCTTCATTAGATCGGAATTATGTCTATGATATTTACAATGATAAATTAAATATACCATTTGGGATAAGAAAAGAAAAGAAAACTTACATGAGGGGAAATTCAGAAGTTACTTTTTCTAAAATTTACAGTTTGAATAACGAAACTGTATTTTTAGTAAAAATTGGAGACAAATCTTACATTTTAACTATCGGGTTAAGAGAACTTCTACTTAGAAAAAAACCTGATTTAAATTTAGTATCAAGCGCTGATAAACACGTGTACAAACATATTCTACACCATACTAATGTTCATAAGAGAGATTTTAACCCTAGAGGTCAAATAAGAGGTGATAAGGGAATTAAATATCGAAAAATAATTAAACCATTATTTTCCGAGACCTTAATCAAATATAAAAAAATCGAAGAAAAGCTTGGGGGTAATTTACCTAAGCTTAAGAAATATAAAATCAACACTGATATTGTATATTGGGACGATCCAAATGGATTAGTTGATAAATTTTAACTTTTAATAGCTTCAAGAGATGCGGGCAATACAAATCATGATAATGAAATTTTATCGATCATTTAAGAATTAAAAAAAGCTAACATTATTAAGGAATAAAATACTAATAATTACGAGCTTTTACTCAGTATTAGTGAAGTTGCTTGTGTTACAAATTACTAAAAAAATTGTCTGTATTTATTTAAGTAACAAGCAGCATAAACGAATTTTTTTTAATAACTTCCAACATAATAATAAAATAAGTACATTATTTTTTGAACATGAGTAAAACCAATGTAGTAAAAGAAATTCATAGAAATGCTAGGGTGAATTTCCCACGTAGACATGTTATTACGAAAGATATAGATGATTTATGGCAAGCAGACTTAATTGATATGCCATCAGTTTCTAAGGAAAAGAAAAACTTCAGATTTATTCTTACCGTTATTGATAGATTTTCGAAATACGCTTGGGCTTTTCCAATTAAGACTAAAAGTAAAGAGGACGTACGCTATAATTTTATGAAGCTCCTAAAAACACGTGTACCCAAAAATCTGCGAACCGACAATGGAACAGAATTTTATAACGATAAGTTTAAAAAAGTTATGAATTCTTATAATATTAATCATTACTCAACCTTTTCAACAAAGAAGGCTTCCATAGTTGAACGATTTATTCGAACTTTGAAATCTAAATTATATTAAGCATTTAGTTTACTGGGTATTTGTAACTGGATAGGCAATACTCTTAATAATGTTATTTACGAATACAATCACACTTATCATCGAACTATTGGTGAAATTCCAGCCAATGTTAATAATAAAAGTAAAAAACGAATACTACAGAAATACCTTAGATTGGTAAAGAATCATAATGTAAAACGTAAGTTTAGGTGATTATGTGCGTATAAGCAAATACAAAGGTACATTCGATAAAGGATATACTCCAAATTGGTCGACAGAAATATTTAAAATTCGAAAATTACAGAACACAATTCCAACCACTTACTTAATTGAAGATACAATTAGAGGTCAACCAATTTTAGGAGGACTTTTTGCGCAAAAGCTACAAAAGACCAAAAATCCAAACATATATTTAGTCGAAAAAGTTTTAAGAAAGAAAGGAAATAAAGTTTTAGTAAAATGGTTAGGTTTATCTTCTAGTGAAAACAGTTGGATCGATAAGTCAAATATATTATAATAGACTTACTGACCACTGTGTTTAACATTAAGAACAAAAAAGAAAAAAATGGTATATTTAATAAATATCCCAAGCGCGATTAAACAGTCTGATGATGTGCATTGGCAAGAGTAGTCTTCTCAATTGGTTGATTAATAATTTACCATTTGAATTACATTTACCGGGATACAATTATTGTGGTCCTAGTACAAATTTAATCGAAAAACTATCACGTGGAGTCAAAGGTATAAAGAAATTAGACGAATATTGTAGAGAACACGACATTGCGTATCACAAATATTCAAACTTAAAGGATCGACATAAGGCGGATTTAGTTTTGTCAAAAATGGCAAAAACACGAGAGATTGCTCCCGATGCAAATTTGGGAGAAAAGTTAGCAGCAAAGATAGTAAGCAAAGCTATGCAATCAAAAATTAAAACTGGGGCTGGCCTAAATAATGGCAATAGTAATAAAATGTCTCCGAGAAAGTTGGGGAATGAATTTAAAAATAAGTTTAAGAATATCATTACGAAAACGAAAAGACGTATGCAAAAATTAAAACCAAAATGCAAGAAAGCAGCAATTGAGCTAGCTATAGCTGCTGCTAGAGAACTAGTTGATAATTCTGTTATAAAACTTTCTCGCATTATTCCTATACCAAAAACTGGTGGGGTACTACCTTTGATTCCGATTTTTGCCGGATTATCGGCTACGGGAGCCTTAGCAGGTGGTGCAGCTGGTATACTTAAAACTATAAATGAAATCAAAATAGCTAAAAAACAATTTGCTGAATTGAAGAGACACAATGAAAAAATAGAAGCTCTTTGTATCGGAAATGGGTTACGGTTTAAGCCTCATAAAAATGGATTTGGCATTTTTGTATCTAAAGAAATAAAAAACTAGAATATAGGCTACCCAAACGTGCCTTAACTAACATTGACATTTTAAAGTATGGAAAAAATATTCCCTATTTTCGGGGTGTCTTTATGAGAGATGAGCTCCCAACACACCCTTTTAAAAAAGAATATGGAGTTATAAATTTAGATATTTCCTCAAACCCGGGATCTCATTGGGTAGCCTATGTAAAATATAATAATTATGTTGAATATTTCGACAGTTACGGAAATCTTAAAGCTCCAATGGAATTGATAAAATATTTAGGTCCTAAAAATCACTATAATTATGATAAAATACAGCGTGATCATCCTTTTAATTGTGGACATCTTTGTTTGATTTTTTTGGAGAATTTTTGGCGCAATCAAGACATAAAATAAACAAGAACTTCATAAATTGCTCAGTATACAAGCATGTCTATAACAGTTACTATCTCAGGAAATAAATCAGAATTGGATTCCTACTTTCAACCGCCTCTGAGTTTATCAGGTCAATACGAGTGCGGTTTACTATATTTTTCAGTAATAAACTCAACAACAAAATATTCTTATGTTGATAGCAAGTTCCCATCTGTGATCAGAATCGAATGTGATCTCATATACGGTTCATATTGCAACGGGTTACCTACTCATATTATTCACGAATTTGTATCTAAAACTGCTGCAGATAATCAATACATAGAAATACCTCAGAACGTTATTTACTTCCCAGTGAATAAAAATAATATTACATCTATAACTATTACAGTTTTAGAACAATTTGGCTACAGAATTAATTTCAAAGAACAATATATTGAAATTCGCCTCCATTTGAGGAAAGTAAAATGATATTTCACTATAAAAACCCTACAGTCTACTTAAAGCGCCCTATTACTTCTACATTCACTAAGGTGCGAAGACGTGAGAAAAAACTTAAGACCTTGAGTAAAAATAATAAAGATTTTCTAAAGTCCTTAGGATTTAAAGTATGAATATACTACAGATTAATGACTTACCAAACTTCGATACTTCTATTGAAAGTTATGAAGTCCATTCTTATAATCCATATAATAATAGCTTTAGAGAAAACGATGAAATAAGAATTCCTATACATCAGCAAGACATATATGTATTACCATCAGCCAGTTCAATTTACATCGAAGGTCGTGCAAAGCTCTTCAGCAAAGATGGAAACCAGATTAAAAAACCTGTTACGTTCAGTAATAATCCTATTATGTTCTTGTTTCAAGACATAAGGTATGAGATAAATGATAAATGGAATGGAGTTGGGATATGGATGGATTCACAAGTGAAAACAGTGATTTTAGTGCTACTGTACCTTTAAATAAGATTTTAGGGTTTGCAAAAGATTATGCTAAAATTGTAATAAATTGTAAACATGAACTTATACTGAACAGAAGTAATTCTAACATAAATAGTATTATAGGAACTGAAGATGTTGCACATTTTCAAATAGACATACAAAGAATACAATGGCGAGTGCAACATGTGAAGGTATCAGATCGTGAACAACTGAAACTTCTTAAACATTTAGAAAGAGATAAACCTATACAGATGACATTTAGAAATTGTGATTTATATGAATACCCTATACTTCCTACAGCAACTAAGCATTCCTGGTCTATTAAGACTGCGTCACAATTAGAGAAACCTCGATATGTAATTTTTTGTTTACAAACAAACAGAAAAAATCAAAAAATGAAAGACTGTTCAGTATTTGATCACTGTGGAGTGAGAAATGTGACATTGTTTTTGAATTCACAATATTACCCATACGAGCCCTTATGTTTAAAGTTTTCCGAAAACAAATTTAATATATTATACGAAATGTATGTGAAATTTCGCCAGTCGTATCACAACTTTCCCGCAGACCCATAGCTTGATTTAAGTAGCTTTAAGGAGAAGGCTCCGCTATTTGTGATAGATTGTTCAAGACAAAACGACAGTCTAAAAACAGGACCCGTAGAGGATCGTTTGGAGATGGAATGTACAACGGCAATACCAGAGAAGACAACTGGATATTGTTTAATCATTAACGATCAACTTGTGGAATATAAGCCTTTAAGTAACATAGTGTGCAAGTTGACATGACTGCTATCGTAGATGTCCAAGGTTTCAAAACAGAAAGAAATGAATTCATAGTGAAAGAAATTGCAATATTGTGTAACAATAAAATATAACGACTTTTAATTAAACCACCATTTCCTTTTTACAAATTGACTGTAAAAGAAAAAAAAACATGTAAATTGGATTCAACGTAATAGAAAGATATATTGGTGTGAGGGAGTAACACCTTATTTAAATGATCAGGATTTGATTGCAGATAATATAAAGAATAAATGTATATACGTCAAAGGTTTAGAAAAAGTTTTATGGTTAAAATCCATCTTACAAAATGATAATATAATTAATTTAGAAGATAAAGGCTGTCCTAGTTTGTTAAATCTGTATGATCGATATAAAGATTGTAAAGATTTGTATAGTTGTATTAATCACGACTCAGTATGTGCTTTGAAAAATGTTTTTTGTTTAAATAAATGGTGCTCTGATAACAACATTTGAAATATTCTTTATTTTATTTCATAAAAAACTCTCCACCAGCAACTTTTTTTAAATGTTAATAAGGAATCAGCGCAGCATTGCAGCTTCATTATACTCTTGCAACCAGCAAGATCAAACCTCCACAAAGCATGAGGGGCATGTCTCAAAACGAATACAGACCCCGATATAGTTTATATGATTCATATAAAATACGCTTATTTTCATTTAGCCATTATTGGGCAACGAGTGATTTAAGAGAAACAGTGGCGAATGAAATGGCTGATGCGGGATTCTTTCATTTTGGCGATAGCATAAATGATACAGCTGCTTGTTTTTCCTGTCGAGGAGTTTTTTTTTTTATAGGATAAGGGTGACAAACGAGCACACAGTCCACCTGATGGTAAGTGGTTGCTGCGGCCCATAGACATCTACATCTATCTTCGATTACGAATCAAAATGCAGATGCGTTGTCACCCGTGAGGACTAAGATGGAATGCCTCGTTTCCAGTAAAAAGGGTCTCCGGTTCTCTACACTCACCATACGAAACACAGCAGCGTTAAGCTGCTATTTTACGCTGGTATTCTGTGAGAGCGTGGTCCTTCCCCGGTCGAGCCGACCCATTTGTGCTACAACCATAATATAGCTGCAGCTTTGCTTCTGGGTAGACTTGCATATTATATAAATTGTATTCGGTTAATACCCTTTCGAAATCACTTCGTAATGCAACAATCGAAATCGCGCCAGAAAGGAACTCTTCCCTGTCCACCTCACTATCTACTTGTTGGGAGCAATCATAAATCGTTTGTAAACGGTTAGATAAAGAATCGCGTCTAGCTATAGCTATATTCAATAACATCATTAATTTGGGGTCTGGCGTTTCGGTCCTAGGTTCATTCGTTTTTGACGTGCTAGTTTTTGACATATTTATAATAAATATAAAATATATATAGGAAATATTAAGGTTATAAGTAGTTTTAAATTTAACTGGCGAGCGATGAATAAATACACAATTAATTAAAGTGTCGTAAACACTAATTTATCGCGGAAATATCAGGTAGATTTATTAAACTGATCTTAATTTCTTCGTGAGCGAGCGGGTAAGTAGACATTGTATTATGTATTGCGGTAAGTATATGGTAAATTATATAATAGCGATGAATATACTGCTTTAAATTAATGTAATAAATACATAATGCGTGTATATATGCGAGAAATTAAGTAAAATATTATATTTAAATATTTCTAAGTATATATATAGTTTTAATTATGCCTATTCTGCATAGAAATATTCCAACAAAGTGGCAAAAAATGGTTATCGAATTGTAAAGGTTGCGGGCGAAGTGACCAAAATGATGACGCGTGGTTCAAAATTGGAATAAAGTGGACTGTAAAAGGTAGTTGGAATTGGATTTCGTTGAAATTTGCAACCGACACATAAAACTGAAGGTACGCACCTGGAGAACGCCGTCAGCTTCTCTTCGTACTTGAGGTTGACACTCGCGTGGTACACTCCTAGTTTTCTTGCGCGATTTACACTTATTTTATACAATTCACGGCCGTGATTTTAGCGTATGATAATTAAATAGATATGCGAGTAGCGAGCGTGACACAATATGCTTCCGCGTGCGGGCGTGTTTTTACTTAGACTTTTCTTCTACCCGATTGTCGGTCGCAAGAAGGAATGATAGAATTAATGAATGGTATTATAGAGAAAATCTGATTCGTCAATAAGATTGACCAAAAATGCGGAATATTTTAATTTGAAAAGTGGCGGTAACACCGCCTTTCTCATGTGATAATCTTCTATATTTTCAATATTCGTCATCTCTAAAAAAAATTGACGTGGTGCGCAAAGATTTTTTTTATAGGTTAAGGGTGACAAACGAGCACAAAGTCCACCTGATGGTGAGTGGTTGCTGCGGCCCATAGACATCTACATCTATCATCTATTAGAAATCAAAATGTAGATGCATTGTCGCCCGTAAGGACTAAGATGGAATGCCTCTTTTCCAGTAAAAAGGGTCTCCGGTTCTCTACACTCACCATACGAAACACAGCAGCGTTAAGCTACTATTTTACGCTGGTATTCTGTGAGAGCGTGGTCCTTTCCCGGTCGAGCCGACTCATTCGTGCTACAATTATACTACTAATATAGTTGCAGCATGGCTCTACCACGTCGATTATACGAAAGTGAGTCTTTATCGTGGAAATAAATTAACGTACGTGTACCTACCAATCAAAGAGTAATTGAGAGCTAATCAAACTACTCAAGTGCAGTGAGCGATAGCATAAATAGTGAATATGAAGATAGCTATATTGCGAATGGAGGCCCTATACTTTGGCCTGCAAACTCGCCGGAACTTTCAACGTTAGACTTTTATCTGTGGGTGTGGGGTGAAATAAAGAGTCGTGTTTACGTCAAAGAGGCCCAAAGTTATGAAGACCGCCAGAGTAAAACTATTGCTGCATTCACGGAAGTTAAAAGTGCTCAAGCACGGGTAATAACTTTAAAAATAATTTTAGAATACGTGCTGTCTGTGCATAGAGAGTGTGGCGGCACGACCCTAGCTGTTCGGCCGTTCGACAATCTTCGAAAAGCCTTTGCTGTGCGGGAGCAACCGGCTCGATTTTCCCTGCCTCGTCAATCGATCTGACCCTCCAGCGCTGTGATACCGCTTGTTCGCGCTCCGATCCGCTACTTTGAATTTACGTTGTGAATAAATGGTTATGTAATATGTGGGTGATTTCGTTATTTACATCCCCACAAGAGAAACGGATTTCATTTTGAAGTACCAATATTGGGACTATTTGTGTAATTTAGTTGTAAATAGTTTATTCCATTTTTTTTAAATACGCCATAATAATGACAGTCGTCGGTTACGTTGTTGATAATCAAAAATATTTATTAAGACAACCCTAAGCCCGTCAAAAATGTGAAGAGAAAATTGGAATCATAATTCACGTAACTTAAGCATTAGTAGTAGGAAGTAAACAATATTCAAGTACTTGAGAAACGAAAACGTGAATTGAATCGGACACACAGGAGCGCTGGTACGCGTAGTTGTTGCTCATAAATCAAATTCAATTTAGGAAAATTTTAAAAAAAAATTAGAAGTCTTATTTGCTAAAAATGTAATATTGGTTTATTACTATTTATATATTTGAAATTAAATATAAAATTTGGCTAGTCTTTGAAAAATAACCCTGTATAATATTATAATAACTATAAACTTGTTAGAGTCATTCTGCAGATCGGAGTATCAAGGTCGTTGTGTCTACAACACAAAACACGGCACAAAGCGCTTCTTTCGAAGCTCCATTCCTATGGGCTTCCCGAGAAATTGTGCAATTGGATCACCAGCTTCCTTGCAGATCGGAACATCAAGGTCGTTGTAGACGGTGCATGCTCCGACTACAAGCCTATTAACGCTGGTGTTCCACAAGGCTGTGTGCTATCACCAACACTGTTTCTTCTGCATATTAATGATATGTTGCTAACTGGTAGCATTCATTGCTATGCGGATGACAGCGCTGGTGATGCTCTATACACCGGCCGTGCCAATATTTCTTGGGAAAACGTCGCCGAGTACCGGAACAAACTTGTGTCTGAAGTCGAGTATTTGCTGAACAAATTCTCGGATTGGGGGCGACTAAATTTAGTCCAGTTTAATCCTCAGAAGACACAAGTTTGCGCGTTTACCGCTAAAAAGAACCCCTTTGTCGTGTCTCCTCAGTTTCAAGGCACTCCCCTTCTTGCCTCAGCCAGTATCGGAATCCTCCGCGTCGACATATCGAGTGACGTGCAGTTTCGTGGGCACTTGGAAGAGAAGGCCAAATTAGCTTCTAAAAAGCTTGGCGTGCTCAGCAGAGTGGTACAGTATTTCATGCCGGCACACCGCCTTCAACTTTACAAGGCGCAGGTTCGGCCTCACATGGAATACTGTTCCCATCTCTGGGCAGGGGCTCCCCAGTGCCAGCTCCTTCCACTTGACCGCATCCAGCGCAGAGCGGCTCGAATCCTCGACGACCGGGTACTTTCCGATCGGCTCGATTCATTGGCACTGCGAAGAGATGTTGCATCCCTTTGCATTTTCTTTCGCATCTACCACGGGGAGTGCTCTGAGGAATTGTTCGGATTAATCCCAGCCGCCAAATTTCATGAACGCAGATCGCCTCAGAACTCCCGATACCATCCACACCATCTGGATGATTGGCGGTCCACCACTGTGCGATTTAGAAGATGTTTTCTTCCTCGCACGACTTCCTTGTGGAATCGATTACCATCAGCGATTTTTCCGGACCGATACGACTTAGGGACCTTCAAGAAAAGAGCGTACTCCTTTTTAAAAGGCCGGCAACGCATCTGCAATTCCCTCCCTGGTGTTGCAGTTGTTCATGGGCCGCGGTAGTCACTTACCATCAGGTGAGCCACATGCTCGTTTGCCCTCTCCTATAAAAAAATGCTGCAGATATATTAATTGTATAGTTGTAGTACGGCTGGGTCGACTCAACTGGGGAAGGACCACGCTCTCACAGATAAGACAGCACT